AAAAAAAATGAATGAAATGAGGAGAAGAAGAGAAGATTTGCTAGCGATGCGTTGAGCTGAATTACCGCGATCAATCAATAGGAGAAAACACAACAATGTCGTAGTTAGGGTTGCAATTCAGAATTTTGCAACGTGTGCGCAGCTCTTCTTTTTTTCTCGCACACTATTAGTTGACGGCATGATGTTGTTGTGTTGTGTTGTGCTTGAAGAAAAAATAGTGGCAGTAGTCAGGCATAGCTCGTTTTGAGCTTTGAACATACACATTGCGGTCGACATGATGTCGCTCGTCGCCGCCTCGGAGTCACCTGGAATAAGCATGAACGGAATGTTTTTCTGTACTGCGCTAATTCAACGCAATTACCTTATCGGTAGGGGATGACTCGCTGGTGGAGAAATGTACAGTGATCAGATTTTCTAACGTCACCAACATTGCTTCCATATTAGCTATCTAAGATGATTAAAGTACAGAATAGGTGTCAAGAAAACGAGAAATGAATTGATGGCCAATTCTACCTGTTGAGGGGTGATCGACGGTTCAGTAGGAGCAGGAAACGTCTTCTCTAACGCTACGCATCGCTTCATCTCTACCACATAAGCTGCTACACAACCGATAAATTGTGAAGCATGCCGTGTAAACTCCACACCTAGAATGGACAGATTTTTGTGAAGCTATAGAACAAAGAAAACTTTTCAAACCCATCATATGTGGGTCTAAGAGTTTTGATTTTTCAAATGAGAGAGTGGGAGCTCGATGTCATTGCTTTGCACAGCAAAAAACTCTGAGCGAGAACAGGTTCCCAAGGCAGTAATCTCAAATCAAATGTCAAGGAAGACATTAAGATAGTAATTTAACGAAAGTTAAGGTGCAACAGGAAATGCAACATTTGCTACTTTCTTTCTAAAGCGAGAACTGGTCCCCAAAAGGAATTGCCCCGAAATGTCGTTGAAAGCAGTCCGAATGTGGACAAATGACTGCACGTGGCACGCATGAAATTAATGTCTTTTTCAAAAGAGAAGCCAATGTCCGAATAAATTGTGGCATCCAAAAAGATCCCCAATCAGTAACTATACAAATCATGATCAGCAATATGGTGACTAACATAAATTCCATTCAAAACAGCGGAAACGGCAGGGGAAAGTAATCATAAACGCCAATGTCTGAGAAATTGCGGTGAAATCTCACGATTATTTGAATATAGACGCATTTATGTCACTTTCATTCATTTAGTACAGTGAGAAAATTGCGAGAAATGACGAGAACTTAGCATGGAATTAATATCTTTCCAAAGCAGAAGTAGTACTTTAAAGAGGTGAGCGTAAAACAGTAGCAAATCAGGGAATTTTCATAAAAATTTGTAAGCGAAAGATGGTCTGAGGGAAATTTCTTCCAATGATACAGTTGGAACGGAACTCTGACAATAGATAATCAGAACTTCCGAAAACCAACAAACCTTCGTGCCGTAATTGCGGCAAAACGCAATTCTTCGCTGCTTCACATGCTTTTAAGCATGCCCGACCGGCAGTTTCGACTTCTCTGCAAGCAATTGTCTGAGCATTCATTATAAAAAAAA